TTTACGTCAGGATTGCGTTTGAATTGCGAGAAGTACGATCGATAATGAAACATTATAAATGTTGAATCGATCAAAAAAGACCAATTTTTTTTTCTTGCGCAACGATCGAATCTCACAGCACGGACCAATCAGTGTGCATAACCACAAGTTAATTGAAAGTTGGCTGCATCGCGACTTTGGAATTGTAGTTTTCTCAAACGAAGTACATTGTGTAGATCTCTCTCTCTCTCTCTCATGTCTGGAAAGTTTGGTGAAATTGAGGGCGAACGTCTCCTCGCTGCTTTACTTCCTCTCAGACGTATAAAAAAGGAACGTGATAAAAGGGAAAAAGAGGGAGAGAAAACGGTCGCGTTTCTTTCTATTTGTCCAAACTAGTTTTGGTAACACCAATTTCCAGTGAATTAATTAAACGAGCACTTAAAAAGCGTTAGGGTGTGTTATAGAAAGAGAGTAGAGAGAGAAGAAGAAGAAGAAGGTAAAAAAGAAGAGAGAGAGTTATATTATGCGGTGTAATTTGGAAGGAATATCTTACAGCAATGGCATTGTATCGCATAACTGTACTACGTTGGTTGCGACAAAAAATATAAAAGATCAAAAGAGAAAAGAACAACAATGAACGTATATAAAATATCTTCATCGTCGATCATCGTCCTACGAAAGTTTTTTTGATTTGACGAAACACACATACACACACACACACTTAGTATATTTTATTAAAAGCCCTCTAAATATATTATGGTTAATCGAAAATTTGGATAGTTGATATTCTCGGTGAAAAGCTTCGGTAAAAATTTGACGGTTAATATCGGCGCTTGAGCAGGAGGCTCGAGAACAACGGGGCTTGAATACAGTATCAGGATTATATCTCCGGCCCTTTCTCCTTCCACCGTCTATCCGTTTTCCCTTTTCAACAAACATTTAAAAGCCGTTAATTACCGTTACCGTCTTTTGCCACGAAACCTAAATAACTTTCGCGAACGGTCATCGACATATTAAACGAGGGATATTTTATTTTGAAAGTTTCAAATTAAAATACTTTCAGGAAACGATGCGTGCGGCCTAACTCTAGACCGTCGAACAAATTGATTATTGTAATCTCTCTTTCCCTTCCCTCTTGTACACGATGAAAGTATATAGAGAGAGATTCGTATCACCATATAGAGCTGAAAGTTTCTTTATCTCTATCATTAGATTTTGGTTGAAACTTTATTTGAAAGTTCAATTTTCTAGCACAAGGACAGTCAAGAGGTCTAGAAGATCGTAGACGGTTCGCGTTGCTGCCTCGCTGATGATATTGATTGAGCGAGAAAGGATTGCCTTTGGCGAGTCTCCTGCAACACCTACTACTCGAAAGCAGCATTGCGGATTTTCTCCAAAGACGAGAACAATAAGCTTCGTTAGGGTGCTCTCTTTCTCTCCATTCTTCTACACTTTCCACGGAATCGATGCTTCTACCTTTCTGTCTCTATTTCTAACGTTCTCGTAAAGAATAAATGAAACTTTGTCTTGCCATTGACACGATGCTATTCAATGTATAATAAAATGAAGAAACGCTAAGGAGAAAGAGTAATCGAGAGAAAATAACATTCTTCTTTCGAGGGTAGTGATAAACACGACACTCTCGCATCGTTTTTTATCTTTCATTACTCTGGTTACTTTGATCACGCTCGACCTATGCCAGTTGTACGAGAGCCATCGCGAGTCAATTATTTGAAGCGGAAATCTCGACGAAGATTGGCCGGTTCTACTGGAAAAAAAATAATCACGACTTGCCGTCCATCGTCGTCTTTTTCTCAGCGCACACGGACGGTGGGGGGGCACATGCGTCTCGCGTCGCGTAAGCGCCACCGTGAGTTACAACAGCAAAGGCGGTTGGTTCATTGGACGAGAAAAGGAAGGACTCGTGGCTGCTCGCCTCCTCTGACCTAGAAATCGATCGATATCGATTGCTTGAGTCGCGCGTTCCTTTCTCTCTCTCTCTCTGCACACGAAAAGGTGCTCTCGGAAAAAAATAACTTATTATAGGGAGAATTTTGAATGAGAATATGCCAAGTGCAGGATACGTCATATTTGATCCTTTTTCATTTGCTTTTGAACGTTGCTGCTGGCAGCAACCGTTGCGGTCTTAAGTTGCGGTCATATCTTGATCCTCGGTCATCGAATATACACGTGGAGGAACGTCGCAGTTCTACCCATTCTCAAGTTGACGCGCGTCTTTGATAGCGCGTGACCGCATTAGGTGGCTATAACACTAGATAGATAAGATAAAGCGTATCTTTTTATCTATACCTATAGTGATTAATGTCAATTAATAGGATTTCTAGGTGTAAACTGAAAGAAGAAAGGAAAAACTGGGTTAGTTTCTTGTAAGACTTTGCTCCAGCAGGCAACAGGAGCGAATATCTAAGATGCATACGTCGCGAAACGGAATGTGGATTTCAGGCGTTCTCAAAGGCGGCTTACGTAGATGCTCCTACACGCTTAGGAACGTATATTGTTCAAGTTAAACGTACTCTTACTTACATACGCGCGTATAGGCGAGAGAAGTTAAGGCGACGCGAAGGGAGACAGCGAGCGGTTCGAGTTCGCCGTCCGAGAGAAAGTGAACCAGTTGGCGGCGTTGCCGAATATCTCAGCTTCTCTGCGAGCAGCCGGCTCGATGAAATCCACATACCACGAATTGGCAACGACGCGTCTCGAGTTTTGCGCGATTATGTCTCGCGTCGAGCGATTAATCGACTCACTCGGTCGCAATTTTTGGCGGGTGGCTCGCGCTTCGCGACGACGTTCTCTCTCTCTTAGCCCAAATTCAATACAATTTAAATGCGTTTAATTGTCATCGTGCATTCCTCACTATTCATTGTCAATAAGAAATCTCGAAGCATCGATCCTGACAAGGATCAAATGAACTCGCTTTTATTCGCTTCGAATGAATTTGCTTTGTGTCTATATCATCCTTCTCGTAAATATATTACACTATTCTCGAAACCTTGTCCGAGAAAATGAAAGATTGTCCGCGAGCAATGCAAATTCTCCAGTAAACTACTAATCATCCTTCGGATAATCAGAATAATTGAAATTGTAATGAATTCCAACATCGAGAGAAAGCATAGCAGTAACCGGTAACGCGCGATTACTCGCTAAGCTCGCGTTTACGAAACAAGACGTTAAACCAGCGAACGTTCTCTAAATCCTTTCTTCGATTTGTTTCTACCTTCTTCCCTCGTCGACTTGTTCGTCAATTCCTCGCAATTAGATTTCTCTGAGCCATCCCTCCTTTCCTTCCTCCTGTATTTTTTTTTCGTTCGCGGTCCCACGATGAAAAAATAATCCTCGATACGCGTCGGTGAAAGCAATCGAACCATCCTCGCGAATTATTTTTTTCTTTCTTTCTTTTTACTATAAGTAACCTCGGAAAAACCCTCTCCATCTCGCACCTATCTCGTATCTATCCTTGGATAGGATCAAAAGATGGAAGGTGGAATTTCTTGTTGTCCTCCTCGTGTGCGGATCGTCTTTCGTCTCGTTTGCAGCACCAAGCTGGTCAGAAGTAATGCGAAGCTCTTACCAGCGTGACTTTTCCTTTCCCCTGAGCGATCGTCCATTCGACCATTCGCTTGCCACAGAGCCTACAAATTCAACGCAGAATCATATGCAAGTCCAAGACTATATGTGTGATATGATATGTGAACTCGCTCGCACGAAAGCTGCTTTGAGTTTTGCATCTCGACGGTGCCTAATTATTTCACCGATAAGAATTAAATCTTCATACAAAGTTAACTGCGCTTGCGCTCGAACTATTACGTAAGAAATTACCTAACGACGCGGTGCAGGCTCGCGTGCAGGGGTGCGATTTTGTCATTGTTACTCAACAACAATTAATTACTATTTTCTTTCCCCTTGAACCTTATACCCAGGCCAACTTTCGAGCCAATTCTTCATACGTCGGACATTTGTCCCAAATCCTGAAAACGTTTGCGAGATAAAAAAAAGAGTTTTGGAGACGGCCCAGGCTTTAATCCGTGGAATATGTTTAGCAAATCCTGTAGCGTTTTTATCAACCATTTTTTTTATGGATATGTGCTTAAACACACCTGTAAATTATCAGTTAAAACGTGAACGTCAAGAGCATAGCATTTGTTACTGGCTGCGCCACGAAAATTACAGTTTCTTTAAACGCATATAGTGCAGTTAATATTTGTCCGATTTCAAGGTATAATTATGAAATTTTTGCCTGACATTAAGTACAATTGAACTATGTTTTTTTAACATTTACAAAATGTGGTTGTGCAGCATGAAAAAGATTTTCTTAAACAAACATAAAGTTACAATGCCTGCTAGTGCTCGCTCTGTAATTAAATTTTAATTATTCATTAAACCTTTACCTAATAAATGATCCAAAAATTCGCGGTACAGATAGGCGCAAATGTAGCTTTTATCCACGATCTTATTATACGGTACTGCACAATCGTACTTGCAATAACCTTACAGGTTATTCACTATTTTATGTAATTACAAATAAATATAATGTAAGCTAATAAATAGATAATTCTATAAAATATAATATTTTTAAACATACAAATTTTCAACAATAAAATTTTAAAAAAAGCTTTCTTTTTTAAATTTAAGATTATCTTTGATTTTGAGTCCACTATTTCAAAGAAGTATTATCAGATTCATAATCAATGACTCCAAGAACCTCTAAATACAAACTTTTGAAAGAATTCAATCACTTTTTAATGAAAATATCAGCCATTTTCAGTTTCCCAAAAAAAATAATATCACATTATTCACGTCAACAATCTTGACGCAACTCTAAAATACTAATTGTCAAAAAAAATAAACTACATCTTCTTATGTATCGAAGGTTTTCGGGATTTGGGACAAGTGTGCATCGCGTAATGGAAGAACTCGATATTATCCTATCATCTTTCTCTTCGCCCGAAACTAGACTATTCTCCATATATTAAATAAATATTCTTTTTCTTTATTTGTTTCAGAATAAGACTAGCCAGAACCCTACGATACAGTTCCTAGGAAACGAAGGAGTGAGTACAATGGATTTTTTAGTCTCTCTACTTATTGAAACTTGTCTTTTCGTTTAATAGAATCTTTCCATTAGTTTCTTATTTGCTAATAAAATAATTCACGCGTAACTAGAAAACCTATTCTACGTAAGATGGAAGATCGTTGAAGACGCTCGAATCGTACATGTAAAATGTATAAAGCGAAAAATGTGCTGCTTTACGTTTCGAATCGTCAAAATCGCCATCGCTCTCTCGACAACGATTTTCTCGTCAGTCATTCGATATGCGCTCGTTTTTAGGTATGCTTCTTCGTACGCATAGGTTCACAGAACGTTGTCAACAACCTTTAAACATTCGCGTGGGCGCATACGCATACGAAAGTTGTTCGCACTTGCTGCTACATCTTCTTTTCACGCGCAAACGCTAAAAAATATACAATAGGTATTTTATCTTATTAATTGAAAATATTGTTTTTGTTAAAAGTCAATTTCGTCGTCGTAAACGCCGAGTAACGCAAGAACGCGCAGCTAAGGTTCCTCAGTGAAGGCAACCGAGGTTGTTCGTGCAAGGTTGTACGCCGTTTTCTTTCCTTCCGTGCCTCTCTAGTCGCTGTTATTGCCATGTCGCCTCGCTAGCCCTTCCTTTTCTTTCCAATCCTTTCAAAGCTTCCTCAAATTCACGTTACACTAATGGTATGTAACGTCGTCGCCCGCCTCCGGTATCTTGGCATATTATCTGAGAATTCCACCCCGATCGACAAACGAGACGGTTAAATGACATGTTGCTGTACCATTGGATGTCATAGTTCAATTCTCCACTTTACAATTCTAGAAAGAATTTGTTAGAAATCGGCGAAATTCGGGGCTGATTGACCTCTTCTCTTCCACTTCTTCCTCCTCCTTTTTCATCCTCTTTGTAGGCTCTTCCTCGCCTCTTCCTCTCGGGTCTCGCGTTCCTTTTTTGGGTGTGGCCGTTTCTTTCTAATGTGTTCTAATACGTTCCCTTTCGAGTCGACAAACTATCTAGATACATACAGTTAGCAAAGGGAAGAAAAAGGTCCGAAAATTCGTAAAATAAACAATTTGTTTGAAGTTATCACTTTTTATCAAAGATGGAGATCGATCGACAGGAAAAAGTAAGATAAGATAGATTCGTTCCAAAGACCACATCCGTCGCCCCTTCGCTTAGCGACCTTTCAGCCTGGACTTGGACAAGTTGACCTTTAATCTCGTAACTGGCAACGTTGCCACCTTAGGACCGCGCACGCGAAGCGAAAGAGCTTGAGCGACGTTAATACGAATTGAATTTATGAGTGTACGAGCCGTGTGCCTCTCTTGGGATCCATAGAAATTTGTTGAAAGGACAAAGAAGAAAGAACATTTCGATAACTAGCTTTAAATCGTAGTTATAATCCTCGCTCTAATCAAAGTACCATTCATCTCACCTTCGGCAATTCGTGTCGATAAAAAGGGCATTTATTTTCGCTAGCCATCCACGTATATTTATCGCATAAGCAAAGTCGATGCGCGTACAAGCGTGAAAACTCGTTAGATCTCTTGGCTCGCGCAGGTGCATGCACAGGAGTCCTAGTGAGTTAATAATCATTTCTATTGTCCGATGTGGTTGGTAGGTAGGGTAAGCTTCATACGTGTATATTATGTACAATGGATTCGATTGAACGCGCGCGCACACTCTTAGTAGTCGAGAGAACTCTAGTTTGAAAGTACGTCATAAACATTATCTGCTCTTCGTTAGCACGCGGCGCTCTCGAAATCTCTTTTGTGCTTGATTCGTTGTCAACGTTTAACAACGATAGCCCTTACGGATAAACGGCTTTCATACTTGCATGCTTCATTCGCGATAAATTCAACCACTCGCACTACCTTATCTGCCACGCATATATATTCTTCGTCCTTGTTTCTTTCTGCAAGCTTTTTACCATTGTCTTCGAAGGAGTTCCATGTTCAAATTAAACTTTCTTTAAAAAAAAAAAAACACTTTATATTGTTTGATTATGTTACAAAAGAGAACAATCCAAAATAGTCTTAAGTAATCGTTCAGCTCTTTGACTCGACAATGAATCAACATTTCTGCTGCCTCCTCTCTTCAAACTCGGGTCTTTAAGTTAGGAAGAAAAGCGGCCGAAATTATTTCAGTAAAATTTGCTCATTCAACCAACAAAAAGCCCCACGTCATCTGCTTATTATACAACCAATAGTCCTCTCCTCTCTCTCTCTCTCTCTTTTTTTTCTCTTCCTGCTGGAAGAATCTTGGAACCAATTTGAAGATTTTAGAACCAATAATTCTATCTGTTTTGTTATATCTTCCTTTCTTTCGGCTTTTAGGACTAATTAAAATAAAAAGAGAAAGTGACAGGACGGAAGAAAATTGTAAGGACACTTACAGATAAGATTTGAATATGACTGGCCAATTTCGTGCTTTGTATTTAAACCTGCAACTGTAGAGCAGCTCATATGCATGCGCGGACCTCGTGCTGCATATGGCTACATAATTAGATCTTTTAATGTAGTTAACATTTTCTTATGTGTGTTAGTAGTGTGTAAGCGGAATCGTGCGCGCACGCGCTTACTTTCGCATTGTTGCCTTTCACTCACATCAAACAACTTACCGACAACCGTCTGTTTTACGCGAGCCTTTATCCGTAGCTTTATCCACGCTTTATTCGTGCCGCTGCTATCGTATTTTACCATCCATCGCTCTTTCTCTCCCTTTATTGGCAAATCTATCTGTGCGGGGGAGTGCTTGCGAAAGGTCTATCAAAAGAGAAAGAAGGAAAAAGTTGAAAATGACATTTTTTGATGCAATTCGGTAATATTAATTATATCAACATTAATTGTGCAGCAGGGAAAGGAAGACATTTGAATAGGTTGTTAAACTTTTTGCTTCCTCTTTTCCCTTCTCTTTGAAGTAAGACTTCAATCGTAGATTATTACGGCATCGTTCGTTGGACTCTTCTCGTTACCCGCGTCGTAGCTCTCTTCAGCAATGACCAAGAAAAAACATCGCTCTTTGCTGTAACAGTTACTTTTTACGCGTGACCCACTTCCAACAGCCATTCCAACAGTCGAATCTAAGCAACTCGACTACAAGTGGGTCGCGAACGATCCAAGAATCATCCTCTTCTCTTCGGCTCGCTTATTCTCGAGTTCGATGATGATTATCGTTGCACATGACAAATCGCGAGGAATTTCTTTGTTCCAACGATGGCTGCGGGAAGATTCATAAATCGCGAACGTTGTCGCGAAAGGAAACTTAGAAGAGAACCCGTGATCGCGTCGAAGGTCGCGAAACTAGCGAGCCCCCAAGGCCGCTCCTCTTCCTCTTTCTCTACGAAACGACCCTACTCGATTCGATTCGATTTGATCGAAGCCGAATTATTCTTCAGGTTCATCAGCGAATTCTAATCGATAGCGAGTCCTACCGGTCGGTCGACATCGAGGATCGATCGGACACAGTATTGCAAGATTCGCCGGATGTGATGTCCTCGAAAGGAGATACATCGTCCCTATTGGCCGGCCGATAAAATAAGATTTTTACTGCGACGCGACACGCGTCTGGCGAAACTGGTTCCAAAGACCTTTGCCAGATCTACTCTTTCCCCTCTTTTCTTCTGGTTCGTACCAAGATCTTTCGAAGACGAACTGAACTTGTCTTTCCCTTCCAACTAGAAGCTGGAATAATAAAGGAAGGAAAAAAATCAGTAAAGGATATTGCAAATTTCTTATTACGTATGTTAAAATGTTCTTATCGTTAGAATCTATTTTAAAGAAAGAGCAGAAGCTTGGAAGGCTCCTTTTACGTGCGTCGTCGAGATTACCTTCCGCTTCGATTACAGTTGTTAATCGAACAGCAATTAGACGTAATGTATTATAATTAGCGATTCACTCGTACAACTACCATTTGCAAGAATCTGAAACTACTGTTATAAGTTACAGGCGGATCCCTTTAGCGAGTTTCAACATGAAAAATAAATAAACCGGATTGCCAGGAGTGATCTTTTTCCTTATATTTTACGGTTGAAAAGCGAAGGATGCTTGTCCTTGAATAGGGAAAGTGAGAGAAGGCGCGACTTTGAACGGATTACCGAGGATCGATAGTTGCGCTTGTCCTTACTTCTTTCCTTTATTCAAAGTAATATTCTGAGGTAAATGCTTCGAGGTATAGTAAAACGTGGAATCGCCCTTTTGAATTTAGGACGATCGATCGACGTCAGTTGTAATAGCGTGTAAACCCGCGACCAATCGAAATCATTAGATGACTGTTATCCTTAAGCGTTGCGTCGCACCGTTACAAATCAAATCTGCTAGTGTTGTTAATCTATTTTCAATTAGATTACCTTTTTATATCTTGCATATCTTCAAAAATACACACACACACAATTATATATTTTTAATAATATATAATATAAATATCATTCATAAAGTATAAATAATGAAGTGGAAAATTGGATGTAAACGATATCAAACTTTAATACGACCCGTCTCCACGGCGAACGCATTATTTCACGAACAAAAGGTTGCGACAAGTATAAATAAAAATTTGTTAAATATTAAAAGATTATTGAAAATTTCAACTTCTTTTTTTATACAAAGCGATGAAAATGTAAAAGTACAATTATCGAAAAAAGACGGGGGCACTGTCTAGACCAGTGATTTTCAAACTACGTGCCACAGAATCTTTAGGTTCCGCGTATCATTTTCAAAGGATCCACGAATTGTTGTTTAGAACATTTATTGTTTGCAAAATATTTTTACATTCATAAGTGTTTCATGAAACGATAAAATTTGAAAATCACTAGTCTAGACGGTCGATAGTAATTTATACGGTTCTTTTACGCCCTTCCATTGATCACAATTAGCGTCGTTCTACACGTATATTTACGGTGCTTCGTTTCTCACTCGACTTGTTTATTAACAGCGCGATATTTTTGTCTTTTAAGAAAGGCGGCTATCAAAAATCCAAATAAGCTGCAAAAATCGATTCGAATTCGATGTGATTTG